GTGCATAACAGAACTCCTTCTGTGAAGTGGGGGATATTGTTGAGATTGCTAGCGTTTGCAATCCGAATGTGTGAGGGCGTGTGACTATGCCAGTGAGCCAAGAGCAGAATGTCGATTGCCAACCGTGAGAGCCTTAAGAGGTAGCACTAAATGACGTCTTCATTTAACGTAACCCCAGTCACTAGAAGGCGATTACTTTGGAAAAAATAGAGGAAGAGGTTTAAATGAGAAGATAGGTTATTAGAGAAGATGTGCACTATAAGGGAGTCGTAGTAAGATACTATTCAGTTTGACTTCTTCTGATTTCGACGCAAGAGGACTTCGCGGGTGCGTAACATGGACATGGACAACTTTCGAGAAACATAGAAGGACGGCATCAGTTGAATCAGTCGAGAAGACATCTCGTGATTGAAGTAGCCACATCCCTCTGCCTCCACTCCGATCATGGACAGTGCCGAATTCGCGTAGGTCATTGCCGAAGGCACTTTAGATGAAGGTTCCATGCCAGACATGTTGGTGGCAATGAAAGCGGGCGTAAATAGTTGGGTCCGGACACATGTGTGCCTCAGTTCACCAGCAAGAGCTTTTGAAAAGCTTTGGACATAGGCCTTCGAAGCGGAATAAACAGTTAAGTAAGCAATTGAGAAGAGACCAGCAAAGGAGCCAATGTTGATGATGTAACGATAGACACCAGGGGTGGGCAGTGGATCGTTAATCATTTTCGGGAGCACAAGGCGTGTGATTTTTGTAAGGGTCGTGGCATTGACTGTGATAATGTCTTGACAAAAACCGGGAGTGAGGAAGTCACTGGTGCAGAGGTCGTCTGGGTGTTTGTAGGCCAAACCCACATTGTTGAAAAGACAGGAAATTGACGACAGACTACAGAGCTCACTTTGCAACCGCTCATAAAAATCATCCTAAAACATCACAAACAAACGTTACAAGTTGACACTTGTGTACCTGGTGTCAATGTGAGTTCTAAAAAGGAAACTTACTTTCGTGCAGTCAGCAACAAAAACCTTCGTCTTGATTCTGTATTTGTTCTGAAGTGATTCAGCCACAGCTCTCAACTTATCTTCTGAGCGACTGATGAGGAAGACATTGAGACCTTCTTTGGCCAGCAGTTCACAAAACGCCTTTCCGATGCCATCGGTTGCTCCAGTCACAACGGCCCATTCTCCAGCTCTCTTCAAATCGCCCCTTCTACTCAAGCAGAATCGAAGCACGTAGTATGCTAGGACCGGCCACAATAAAAAGCATACAACGTAAGTGCAGAAAAGGGCCCCAATAACGCTTAAGAGGCAGCAAAACATCGTGACAACAAACGAGAGTACGAGAACAATTTACCTCAGGAGTGGA